ACACACACACACACACACACACACACACACACACACACACACACACACACAACATATACACGCAAACACATACGATCCTCTTTTTTTATCCCTTTATTCAGTTTCATTTTCTCACGGCGGAGTAACCTGTATAAGTCCATACTGAGCGTCGATCGATCACAAAGTCCTAAGTCATTGATCTCACCAGCACTAGAGAAGGTGGGGGCGATTCCTATGTCTAGAAGTTCAAGCAGTTTACAAACACTCAGTCTACAACTACTGTACAACAAAAATGTGCATCATTGAGGGGAAATCTGGCGCTTGTCAAAATAATGAATTCGAAGAAAGAAATCGAGATTTTCCCATCCGTTAGGCAATTTTTATCGATTTTTGTTTCCACTCAACACCTTTTATGGCCTTTAAAGACACATCGCTGCGTGGATTTTTAATGAAAAACGTTGATCAAAGAAAGAAAAATGTAATTTTTCCATTTTGAGGGATACTTTGGAAGTCACCAAACTTTGGCGGCGATTTTCTCACCAATTTTACCTTTGACAACAGGTGACCTGCGTATAATTCAATCCCAAATACATCGACTTCTTACCAAGATAGATGGATATTTCATTAACTATATTAAGGCAAATGAACAGGCTTTCAGATTATACGAATAACTTCATATGCCCCAAAATTTGGCAAGCGCCTGATTCCATCGCGTCGTGACACTATCACTATTCACTGCGGGGCTTCGGTAGAAAGTGACAGTGATAGGTCTTGACTGCATGTGGACACCTATTATAATGCACTTTTGGCGAGCTGTGCATTTTGTTTGAACTACAGTCTGGGAGGCAATAACACTTATCGTACTTTGCAAAACGCGTTTTAAAAAAACCCTACTCTCTAGAAAGGATGCGAGCTATTTAAGAAGCGGTCTATTGCTTTTGCTGTAAGTAACGACGTTTTACTGCGTGGTAAAGCTGTTTGCGTGGTCTGTCCGTTTCCTGAGGCTGACATGGGAGTGGTGGGTGGTGGGACAAGTGAGAAGTCCGATGACGTCACAGCTGCTTACTCCGCGTGATGTTTCTTGATTCCGTTGCTCTCTGACTTGTGTGTGCCACTGGAGCCGTTGTTCGCCAGGGTCCCGTTGCTCTGCACGGAGCTCGCTTTCTTCTGCGGCTGAAAATTAACCCAAAAAATTAACAAAAACAAATAATAAACAAAACAAAAATCGCCGTAATACAGGGGATAAAATCTATTTACTTTTCATTGAAACGTTTAGTTCTAAACGTGTACATTATATTAGTAGTCTATTTTCAAGGTAAGAAAGAAATGTTCGTGCTTTTTGCTTCTTTAAAAAAAAAAAAAATTATTTTCAGAACAAGGAACTTATTGGTACTTGTCATTTCGAAATATTTTTTTTTTCTTGGTTCTGTTTCGTTTGTTGAAATTTTATGTAGCAGGATGACTTTGCAAAGTAAACCGATTGCGTTACCTTTTTCAAGAAGTAGGTCTGGATGTAGAAGTTGAGGAAGAGTCCTAGGATGGTGGAGCAGTAGAGGATGCCGATGTAGTTGAGGAACTGGGGGAAGTTGGGGTCGTTGCAGGTCGTGTTACAGCTCATCAGTATCAACATACACACGAACTGAAGCTGGGGACGTGGGAAAAGGGTGGGGGG